CCTTCCAGTCCGGACGCTTTCTTTCACCCCCTTCCAGTCCGGACGCTTTCACCCCCTTCCTGTCCGGACACTTTCACCCCCTTCCAGTCCGGACACTTTCACCCCCTTCCTGTCTGGACGCTTTCACCCCCTTCCAGTCCGGACGCTTTCACCCCCTTCCAGTCCGGACACTTTCACCCCCTTCCAGTCCGGACACTTTCACCCCCCTTCCAGTCCGGACGCTTTCACCCCCTTCCAGTCCGGACGCTTTCACCCCCTTCCTGTCCGGACACTTTCACCCCCTTCCAGTCCGGACACTTTCACCCCCTTCCTGTCTGGACGCTTTCACCCCCTTCCAGTCCGGACGCTTTCACCCCCTTCCAGTCCGGACACTTTCACCCCCTTCCTGTCTGGACACTTTCCCCCCCCTCCAGTCCGGACACTTTCCCCGCCCTTCCAGTCCGGACACTTTCCCCCCCTTCCAGTCCGGACACTTTCCCCGCCCTTCCAGTCCGGACACTTTCCCCCCTTCCAGTCCGGACACTTTCCCCCCCCTTCCAGTCCGGACACTTTCCCCCCCCTCCAGTCCGGACACTTCCCCCCCTTCCAGTCCGGACACTTCCCCCCCTTCCAGACCGGACACTTTCACCCCCTTCCAGTCTGGACACTTTCACCCCCTTCCAGTCCGGACACTTTCCCCCCCTCCAGTCCGGACACTTTCCCCCCCAGGCCAATTTTTAGCTTTCAGCACTATCACACTTTGAATGACAATTGCGCGGTCATGCAACACTGTACCCATATGAAATTTTTAGCATTTTTTTTTAGACAGATAAAGCTTTATTTTGGTGGTATTTATTCACCGCTGGGATTTTTTTTAGCTATATAAATGAAAAAATTCAAAAATTTTGAAAAAAGTGTTTTTCTTATAACATTTTGCAAATAAATAATATTTCATCATAAATCTTAGCCAAAATGTATTCAGTTATCTTTTTAGTAAAAAAAAAATAACCCAAATTAGTTTATAACCAACAATTATAATTTTTAAACATTTTTTTTTACATTTTTTTTTATTTTTTTATATTATTATCTATTTTTTTTTTTTTTTGTTTATTTTTACATACTGTCACCCTAGCAGTGTGGGGTCACCATGGTGACACTGTACTACTTGTGGGGGGTGATGAAGATTTCTTTTTTTTTGTACACTGATTGCTTTTATACCCATAAAGGCTGTAAGAGAAATCATTTCTCCTTTCTGGCTGCATTCTTGCAGCCATTGAGAAATACTGTGTGAGCTGTGATTGGTCACAGCTTGTCACATGGTACAAGGCTGTTGTGAATAGCCCTGTACCATGTGATCTCTGTGATCATTCACAGATTTCACACGTAGTAAGCAATGATGTCAGAAGTGACATCTTGCTTACTACTCTGCATGTGATCACTGATTGTCCAAGGTCCCGTCCAATGATCGGTGTTCCACTGTGTCCGCAACTGAAGACAGCTGCAGTTAGAGCCTGGCAAAGCATCAAAAAGAAGGAAACCCAGTCTTTGGTCATGTCCATGGGTTCCAGACTTCAGGCAAAGCATCAGAAAGGAGGAAACCCAGTCTTTGGTCATGTCCATGGGTTCCAGACTTCAGGCAAAGCATCAGAAAGGAGGAAACCCAGTCTTTGGTCATGTCCATGGGTTCCAGGCTTCAGGCAAAGCATCAGAAAGGAGGAAACCCAGTCTTTGGTCATGTCCATGGGTTCCAGGCTTCAGGAAAAGCATCAAAAAGAAGGAAACCCAGTCTTTGGTCATGTCCATGGGTTCCAGATTTCAGGCAAGCATCAGAAAGGAGGAAACCCAGTCTTTGGTCATGTCCATGGGTTCCAGACTTCAGGCAAGCATCAGAAAGGAGGAAACCCAGTCTTTGGTCATGTCCATGGGTTCCAGGCTTCAGGCAAAGCATCAGAAAGGAGGAAACCCAGTCTTTGGTCATGTCAATGGGTTCCAGGCTTCAGGCAAGCATCAGAAAGGAGGAAACCCAGTCTTTGGTCATGTCCATGGGTTCCAGACTTCAGGCAAAGCATCAGAAAGGAGGAAACCCAGTCTTTGTTCATGTCCATGGGTTCCAGACTTCAGGCAAAGCATCAGAAAGGAGGAAACCCAGTCTTTGTTCATGTCCATGGGTTCCAGACGTCAGGCAAAGACTGGGTTTCCTCCTTCCTGATGCTTTGTCACGCTCTAACTGCAGCTGTCTTCAGTTGTTCTTTGTTTGTGGGTCTTTCTGCCTTTAGTTTTGCCTTCAGCCAGTGAAATGCATGCTCAATTGGGTTGAGATCAGGAGACTTGCTCAGCCATTGCAGAATATTCCACTTCTTTTCCTTCACAAGCTCCTGGGTTGCTTTTGCAGTGTGTTTTGGATCATTGTCCATCTGTACTGTGAAGCGCCGTCCAAACACCTTTCCTGCATTTGGCTGAATCTGGGCTGACAGTAGATCTCTAAACACGGCAGAACTCATCCGGCTTCTTCTGTCACATCATCATTAACCACCAATGACCCAGCGCCACTGGAAGCCATGGATGCCCATGCCATCACACTGCCTCCACCCATGCCATCACACTGCCTCCACCCATGCCATCACACTGCCTCCACCATGCTATCACACTGCCTCCACCCATGCCATTACACTGCCTCCACCCATGCCATCACACTGCCTCCACCCATGCCATCACCCTGCCTCCATCCATGCCATCGCACTGCCTCCACCCATGCCATCACACCGCCTTCACCCATGCCGTCACACCGCCTCCACCCATGCCGTCACACTGCCTCCACCCATGCCGTCACACTGCCTCCACCCATGCCGTCACACTGCCTCCACCCATGCCGTCACACTGCCTCCACCCATGCCGTCACACTGCCTCCACCCATGCCATCACACTGCCTCCACCATGCTATCACACTGCCTCCATCCATGCCATCACACTGCCTCCACCCATGCCATCACACTGCCTCCACCCATGCCATCACACTGCCTCCACCCATGCCATCACACTGCCTCCATCCATGCCATCGCACTGCCTCCACCCATGCCATCACACCGCCTTCACCCATGCCATCACACCGCCTCCACCCATGCCGTCACACCGCCTCCACCCATGCCATCACACTGCCTCCACCCATGCCATCACACTGCCTCCACCCATGCCATCACCCTGCCTCCATCCATGCCATCACACCGCCTCCACCCATGCCATCACACCGCCTCCACCCATGCCATCACACCGCCTCCACCCATGCCGTCACACCGCCTCCACCCATGCCATCACACTGCCTCCACCCTGCTATCACACTGCCTCCACCCTGCTATCACACTGCCTCCACCATGGTTTACAGATGATGTTGTGTGCTTTGGATCATGAGCTGTTCCAAGCCTTCTCCACACTTTTCTCTTCCCGTCATTCTGGTACAGATTCATCTTAGTTTCATCCGTCCAAAGAATGCTTCTCCAGAACCGGTCCGGCTTTTCTGGATGTTTTTTGGCAAAATCTAATCTGTCTTTTCTATTCTTCAGGCTTATGAATGGTTTGCACCTTGTGATGAACGCTCTGTATTTGCTCTCGTGAAGTCTTCTCTTGATTGTAGACTTTGACAATGATACGCCCCCTTCCTGGAGAGTGTCCTTCACTTGTCTGGACGTTGTGAATGGGTATTCCTTTACCATAGAGAGGATCCTGTGATCATCCACCACTGTTGTCCTCCATGGACATCCATGTCTTTTTATGTTGCTGAGCTCACCAGTGCGTTCTTCTTTCCTCAGAATGTAGCAAACTGTTGATTTGGCCGCTCCTAATGTTGCTGCGATCTCTCTGATGGATTTGTTTTGTTTTTGAAGCCTTACAATGGCCTGTTTCACTTGCATGGATTGCTCGTTCGAATGATGTAGGTTCACAGCAAATACCCCCTACACTCCTCTCCTGTACATACCGATCACTGTCATACCCCCCCCACTCCTCTCCTGTACATACCGATCACTGTCATACCACCACACTCCTCTCCTGTATATATCGATCACTGTCATACCCCCCACACTCCTCTCCTGTACACATACCGATCACTGTCATACCTCCACACTCCTCTCCTGTATATATCGATCACTGTCATACCTCCACACTCCTCTCCTATACATACCGATCACTGTCATACCTCCACACTCCTCTCCTGTACATACCGATCACTGTCATACCCCCCACACTCCTCTCCTGTACATACCGATAACTGTCATACCTCCACACTTCTCTCCTGTACATATTGATCACTGTCATACCCTCCACACTCCTCTCCTGTACACACTGATCACTGTCATACCCCCTACACTCCTCTCCTGTACATACCGATCACTGTCATACCTTTACACTCCTTTCCTGTACATATCGATCACTGTCATACCTCCACACTCCTCTCCTGTACATACCGATCACTGTCATACCCCCTACACTCCTCTCCTGTACATACCGATCACTGTCATACCCCCCACACTCCTCTCCTGTACATACGGAACACTGTCATACCTCTCACACTCCTCTCCTGTACATACTGATCACTATCATACCTCCACACTCCTCTCCTGTACATACCGATCACTGTCAAACCTCCACACTCCTCTCTTGTATATATCGATCACTGTCATACCTCCACACTCCTCTCCTGTACATACCAATCACTGTCATACCCCCCACACTCCTCTCCTGTACATACCGAACACTGTCATACCTCCACACTCCTCTCCTGTACATACCGATCACTGTCATACCTCCACACTTCTCTCCTGTACATACCGATCACTGTCATACCTCCACACTCCTCTCCTGTACATACCGATCACTGTCATACCTCCACACTCCTCTCCTGTACATACTGATCACTGTCATACCTTCACACTCCTCTCCTGTACATACCGATCACTGTCATACCCCCACACTCCTCTCCTGTACATACCGATCACTGTCATACCCTCCACACTCCTCCCCTGTACATACCGATCACTATCATACCTCCACACTCCTCTCCTGTACATACCGATCACTGTCATACCTCCACACTCCTCTCCTGTACATACCGATCACTGTCATACCTCCACACTCCTGTCCTGTACATACCGATCACTGTCATACCTCCACACTCCTCTCCTGTACATACCGATCACTGTCATACCCCCCACACTCCTCTCCTGTACATACCGTTTACTGTCATACCCTCCACACTCCTCTCCTGTACATACCGATCACTGTCATACCCTCCACACTCCTCTCCTGTACATACCGATCACTGTCATACCCCCCACACTCCTCTCCTGTACATACGGAACACTGTCATACCTCTCACACTCCTCTCCTGTACATACTGATCACTATCATACCTCCACACTCCTCTCCTGTACATACCGATCACTGTCATACCCCCTCCTCACTACCTCTCCTGTACATACCAATCACTGTCATACCTCCACACTCCTCTCCTGTACATACCGATCACTGTCATACCTCCACACTCCTCTCCTGTACATACTGATCACTGTCATACCTTCACACTGCTCTCCTGTACATACCGATCACTGTCATACCCCCACACTCCTCTCCTGTACATACCGATCACTGTCATACCCCCCCCACACTCCTCTCCTGTACATACCGATCACTGTCATACCCTCCACACTCCTCCCCTGTACATACCAATCACTGTCATACCTCCACACTCCTCTCCTGTACATACCGATCACTGTCATACCTCACACACTCCTCTCCTGTACATACCGATCACTGTCATACCTCCACACTCCTGTCCTCCTGTACATACCGATCACTGTCATACCTCCACACTCCTCTCCTGTACATACCGATCACTGTCATACCCCCCACACTCTCTCTCCTGTACATACCGTTTACTGTCATACCCTCCACACTCCTCTCCTGTACATACCGATCACTGTCATACCCTCCACACTCCTCTCCTGTACATACCGATCACTGTCATACCCCCCACTCCTCTCCTGTACATACGGAACACTGTCATACCTCTCACACTCCTCTCCTGTACATACTGATCACTATCATACCTCCACACTCCTCTCCTGTACATACCGATCACTGTCATACCTCCACACTCCTCTCTTGTATATATCGATCACTGTCATACCCTCCACACTCCTCTCCTGTACATACCGATCACTGTCATACCTCCACACTCCCTCTCCTGTACATACTGATCACTGTCATACCTTCACACTCCTCTCCTGTACATACCGATCACTGTCATACCCCCACACTCCTCTCCTGTACATACCGATCACTGTCATACCCTCCACACTCCTCCCCTGTACATACCGATCACTGTCATACCTCCACACTCCTCTCCTGTACATACCGATCACTGTCATACCTCCACACTCCTCTCCTGTACATACCGATCACTGTCATACCTCCACACTCCTGTCCTGTACATACCGATCACTGTCATACCTCCACACTCCTCTCCTGTACATACCGATCACTGTCATACCCCCCACACTCCTCTCCTGTACATACCGATCACTGTCATACCTCCACACTCCTCTCCTGTACATACCGATCACTGTCATACCCCCCACACTCCTCTCCTGTACATACCGTTTACTGTCATACCCTCCACACTCCTCTCCTGTACATACCGATCACTGTCATACCCCCCACACTCCTCTCCTGTACATACCGATCACTGTCATACCCTCTACACTGCATTGTCTACATTATCCCCAATCTTGCCTCTTCTGGGATGGGAAGACATTTACTGGTCAACCTTCATAAGTCCCTCGCCCCCTATATATATCCCTCTGAGATGTTAGGAGATGATCACGGCTCTCATCGCTTCCATTTTCCGGCATACTAGAGAGCAGAGACAACATGTGACACTCAGAGGCACAGAGAGTGAAACGTGCCAAGTCCAATCCCCGGCCTCCATGTTCTCCTGGATCTCATCCCAGGGATTAATCTCATAATTGGACAGAACAATCCTTGCTTCACCATTACCATGTTTACATTTGGAATCAAGAAATCACGCGGCGTATCCAGAATAGAAAGACGAGATTTCACTTTTAAAGGATTAGTTCCGTATCGGTTACCAGTGCTAGGCTGTGGGGTAATTGAGGGGGGGAAGGGGGTTGTGCGTAAGGTGGGAGGGGCTTGGGGTAGAGAAGGCAGCTGCTCATAGACCAAATAAATCTGATATACTGTATATTCTGTGAAGAATAAAGGAACCTTTTTTATTCTTTTAACCGTCTGAAATGAATTAAGTTTGGCACAACCAGGAGATGTGCCGACCAGGAGATGTGCCGACCAGGAGATATGTCAACCAGGAGATGTACCAATCAGCAAATGTGCCTACCAGGAGATATGTCAACCAGGAGATGTACCAATCAGCAGATGTGCCTACCAGGAGATATGTCAACCAGGAGATATGTCAACCAGGAGATGTACCAACCAGGAGATGTACCAACCAGGAGATGTGCCAACCAGGAGATGTGCCAACCAGGAGATGTGTCAACCAGGAGATGTGTCAACCAGGAGATGTGCCAACCAGGAGATGTGCCAACCAGGAGATGTACCAACCAGGAGATGTACCAACCAGGAGATGTGCCTACCAGGAGATATGTCAACCAGGAGATGTGCCAACCAGCAGATGTGCCAACCAGGAGATGTGCCAACCAAGAGATGTGCCTACCAGGAGATGTACCAACCAGGAGATGTGCCTACCAGGAGATATGTCAACCAGGAAATGTGCTAACCAGGGGATGTGCCTACCAGGAGATATGTCAACCAGGAGATGTGCCAACCAGGAGATGTGCCTACCAGGAGATATGTCAACCAGGAGATGTGCCAACCAGGGGATGTGCCAACCAGGAGATGTGCCTACCAGGAGATGTGCCTACCAGGAGATGTGCCTACCATGAGATGTGCCTACCATGAGATGTGCCTACCATGAGATGTGCCAACCAGGAGATGTACCTACCAGGAGATGTGCCTACCAGGAGATGTGCCTACCAGGAGATATGTCAACCAGCAGATGTGCCTACCAGCAGATGTACCAACCAGGAGATGTGCCAACCAGATGTGCCAACCAGGAGATGTGCCAACCAGGAGATGTGCCAACCAGGAGATGTGCCTACCAGGAGATGTGCAAACCAGGGGATGTGCTAACCAGGGGATATGTCAACCAGGAGATGTGCCTACCAGGAGATACTGTATGTCAACCAGGAGATGTGCCAACCAGGAGATGTGCCAACCAGGAGATGTGCCAACCAGGGGATGTGCCTACCAGGAGATGTGCTAACCAGGAGATGTGCCTACCAGGAGATGTGTCAACCAGGAGATGTGCTAACCAGGGGATGTGCCTACCAGGAGATATGTCAACCAGGAGATGTGCAAACCAGGGGATGTGCTAACCAGGGGATGTGCCTACCAGGAGATATGTCAACCAGGAGATGTGCCTACCAGGAGATACTGTGCGTCAACCAGGAGATGTGCCAACCAGGAGATGTGCCAACCAGGAGATGTGCCTACCAGGAGATACTGTGTGTCAACCAGGAGATATGTCAACCAAGAGATGTGCCAACCAGGAGATGTGTTCCAAGAGCTGGTCGCCCAGCCAAACTGAGCAGTTGGGGTTGAAGGGCCTTAGTAAGAGAAGTGGAAGAGACCTGGTTGTGCTAAACCTCTTCTATTTGAGAATTACTGCACTCTTGGGAACCTTCAACGCAGTAGACATTTTTGTGCAGCCTTCCCTATATCTGTGCCTTGCAATAATCCTGTCTCTGAGCTCCCCATATGGAAAAAAAATATATTTGAAATATATTTTAATAAAAAATATTCTTCCCAAATATATTGACATATATTTGTATATTTGATATACTACAATTTGGGCTTCTTCAATATATATATTGCATGTTGAAATGTGTTTTTATTACAAAATTTTTTATTAAAAATATTTGAAATGCTACAATTTTGGCTGTATTCAATATATATACAGTATATATATATTGTATGTTGAAATGCGTTTCTATTACAAAATATATGAAACATATTTTTAAAAATACATTTCAGATATACTGTATGTCTTTAAAAATACAAATCTACATTTTTGGAAGGCATTTACAAACAAACATTTCAAATATATGTTAAAAAAATCGGAAAAAAATATATTTAAAAAAATATTTTCCATATATTTTGTAATATATAAAAATGCTTTTCAACATGCATATATATATTTATTGAAATATATTTTTAAATATATTGAATACGGCCAAAATTGTAGCGTTTCAAATACATGTCAATATATTTGGGAAGAATAGTTTTAAAATATATTTAAAAAAATATTTTTCTTCCATGTTGGGTCGACACAGACAGGAAAAGTAAACCGACGGGTTTACTATTCCCTATTATATAAAAAAAAAAAAACGCAACGAAAACTTTGGACTGTACATACCCATTAATGGGGGTGTTTGGTAAGAATTAGGGGATCATTATATTCAGTGAGTGATTGGGGCGTATTTATAAATACTAGAATGTAGCTATTTAACTGCTGGTACATTTGTTCTTTGTGAATCGGGAAAACCATCGTCTTGTAGCGCTCCTCAGGTTAGCTGGTCTCTCTATTCTTTATGAATGAATAACATTTGACTTTTTAGAGGTTGATTTTGCTCCAGTCACAGAAAATGAATTTATTAGCAGTGTCTCTGGAGGAATAGCCATGCGATCTTTTTACCTCCCCATAGACTTGTATTGCAAGAACAAGCAGTAAAAAACAAATTTGTAGTGGAGTAGGAAGCAGATCCTATAGAGGTAATAGCAAACGTGGCCGCTCCCATGTATATACAGAATTTAAATGATGAAAAAAAAAAAAAAAAAAAAATGTTACATTTTTAACACCAATCTTCATTGATGCCTCGATGTCCAGAACAGATTTCGTAATAACTTCTATAGACAGGTTTATGCCTTTCCTAATCACGTCCAATCAACTCGATTTCCCACAGGAGGACTCCAATCAAGTTGTGGAAACATCTGAAGGATGATCAGTGGGAACATCTCAAGGATGGTCAGTGGAAACATCTCAAGGATGGTCAGTGGAAACATCTCAAGGATGATCGGTGGGAACATCTCAAGGGTGATCAGTGGGAACATCTCAAGGATGATCAGTGGGAACATCTCAAGGATGGTCGGTGGGAACATCTCAAGGGTGATCAGTGGGAACATCTGAAGGATGATCAGTGGGAACATCTCAAGGATGGTCGGTGGAAACATCTCAAGGATGATCCGTGGGAACATCTCAAGGATGATCAGTGGGAACATCTCAAGGATGATCAGTGGGAACATCTCAAGGATGGTCAGTGGGAACATCTCAAGGATGGTCGGTGGGAACATCTCAAGGATGGTCGGTTGAAACATCTCAAGGATGGTCGGTGGAAACATCTCAAGGATGATCGGTGGGAACATCTCAAGGATGGTCGGTGGGAACATCTCAAGGATGGTCGGTGGGAACATCTCAAGGATGGTCGGTGGGAACATCTCAAGGATGGTCGGTGGGAACATCTCAAGGATGATCAGTGGGAACATCTCAAGGATGATCAGTGGGAACATCTCAAGGATGATCAGTGGGAACATCTCAAGGATGATCAGTGGGAACATCTCAAGGATGATCAGTGGTATATCTGAAGGATGATCAGTGGTATATCTGAAGGATGATCAGTGGTATATCTGAAGGATGATCAGTGGGAACATCTGAAGGATGATCAGTGGGAACATCTCAAGAATGATCAATGAGAACATCTGAAGGATGATCAGTGGGAACATCTGAAGGATGATCAGTGGAAACATCTGAAGGATGATCAGTGGGAACATCTCAAGGATGATCAGTGGTATATCTCAAGGATGATCAGTGGTATATCTGAAGGATGATCAGTGGGAACATCTGAAGGATGATCAGTGGGAACATCTCAAGGATGATCAGTGGTATATCTCAAGGATGATCAGTGGTATATCTGAAGGATGATCAGTGGGAACATCTGAAGGATGATCAGTGGGAACATCTGAAGGATGATCAGTGGGAACATCTGAAGGATGATCAGTGGGAACATCTCAAGAATGATCAATGAGAACATCTGAAGGATGATCAGTGGGGACATCTCAAGGATGATCAGTGGGAACATCTCAAGGATGATCAGTGGGAACATCTCAAGGATGATCAGTGGGAACATCTCAAGGATGATCAGTGGGAACATCTCAAGAATGATCAATGAGAACATCTGAAGGGTGATCAGTGGGAACATCTCAAGGGTGATCAGTGGAAACATCTCAAGGATGATCAGTGGGAACATCTCAAGGATGATCAGTGGGAACATCTCAAGGATGATCAGTGGGAACATCTCAAGGATGATCAGTGGGAACATCTTAAGGATGATCAGTGGGAA